AGGAAACTGCCTTGCAACTGATTGGATGCTCATAGCATATTTCATCACAGAGGTTATTACATCAGTTCTCATCATGGGAAATGACTACATCACCACATAACTGACAAATTCCATCATAAATGCCAAAACCCACTAAGAATCATGGTATAGCCACCTTGACACATAGTCTTAATCATCATAGGTATGTAATATCATCATCATGCATGATGTGGGAGGGGTCTTTGAAATGGATTCTGTGATTAAAAACACATTTTAGAGAGAGGTGAGTGCTGTTTCCTAAGTGCTTTTGGTAGCCTTCTTGTCACCAGGAATGGAGAACTTCTTGACAATGGAACCTACTCTAGGGAAGCAGAGATATGGCCAATTTGTTTGAGTTCTAGATTAAAACCAATTGTGAAAAATATTCATTCATCCCTACACTTTTCTGGAACTTTGCTCAAGTCACTTAGACTGAACCTTGGGTCCTTTGATTCTCACATACATCCTGTAAGATTAATAACAATATTACTAACATGATTGATGGTCAAAGTCAAGCTGTTACTCAGATCTTTTACTCTATATAAAACAGTGGAGTCCTGGTGTGGCACTGTAGGATAAGCACTGGACTGCTAATCCTGTATAGGGTTTCTGAGGATCAAATTCACCAATTTATTCTCAGAAACCCTATACAGGGTCACTACGAGTTGTAACCAACAGGATGTAACAACAACAGCAGCAACACAATTATTACATCAACTGTAATGATTTTTCTCAAAAAGATTCAATGCCTTTATATTTCTACTAGGAAAAAAAAAATGTTCTGGGACGATTCTGGCTTACTACAATAGCCTTTAATCTACTCATCTTGTTTCCCACCATTGCATATCTTTGTTCACCCCCACATTTCACCCTCTTCTCTTCCTTTCCTCAATCTGCTAACATTTATTAAGCTTTTCCTTTTATATCCTATTAGGAGATGTCATGGTGAAATTTAGTCTCTTGCGTCAAGGATGTTAGTTCTCTGTAGAAATCTTCATTGATGCTATTGAACTATCACACCTGAGGGACCATGTTGACGACTTTTTGCTTACCATACAATAATATAGAAAAGCATATTCAGTGTGATTGCAAGGTCTCCAGAGAGGGATTCCCTAGGGCATATAACTCCATGTCATATAATGTTTTAGAATCAGTGCATTGAGTCACTGAATTGGACTTAAGAGATGGTGCCTTTTTACTACAGCTAACATTTTGGACAAAATAGTATGAAAATCAAAGAGGCAGAATCAATAGGTAAGGAAATGAAGATTTGGAGTAAGTGCCTGTTAGCTGTCTTTCTATTTATAGTTTTCATTAATAATTGGAGATGCTTTTGAAGTGATGGCCCAGGAATCATTAACCATAACAGAAACAATCAAATCAGTAGACTGGTTTTATACTAGTCAATTTTTCTTTTGTTTTCAGAGATAAGTTTGAGCAATAATTAGACATATAAATATTTTTATACATTAATCATCAAATCTTACAGATTTATAACTGGATGAAAACTTAGAATTAGAGAAGGCAGTGATCTTGCCTAGTATCGCATGTCACAATTACCCAAGGCAGCCTTAGGGTCTTCTAGTTATAGGGGAAAGATGGAATATTGTGATCAGCTACTTTTTACTTCTCATGAAAGCAATAATTTTGTTTTATTCCATAACACTGATTTTAGATTTTTGTATGAAACTCTAAATTTTCTAAGTTCCATAACCTGTCTGCTTTTAAATACAGTGAGAACTGGAACTTGATGGGATTCCCTTGTGTTTCTGGGTCTCATAGGTGTTTTGCTTTTTACAGGATTCAGTCTTACTACTAGTTTTAATAGAAAATATTTGAATTTTCCTTCTATGACAGATTTCTACCTTATACAGCTTCTGTTTTTGCAGGTGTTATTATATTTGATACTGAACATGTTATTTTATCTTTTTCTCATTGTAAATGGACTTTAAATATTTGAGCTTATAGAGTCTATTTAATTAATACTAGGGGTTTTTGAAAACTGAAATATTATTATTATAATCAATATGTATATATTTGATTTGACAATATGTCTCTAGTTGAAGTCATTTAGGAATAAATCAACTACCTTGCCTTCTGTTTTCTGCTAACGTGATAATAGTCTGAACGCAAGACAATTTTATATGTCTTTAACTTGATGTGTCCTTTCAGCTTCCTCACTTCCTCATCTATGCTAGGAGTCCTGGTGTGGCTCTGGACTGCAAGTCTGAACTGAAAGGTTGGCAGTTCAAACTCATTAGTTGCTGCTCATAAACCTTATACAGGGTCGCTGTGAGTTGGAACTGAGGCAACTGCGCTTAAAACAATTCTATGCTAAGATGTCATCCACTGACTTGTGACTTGAGATCATCCTTCCTCTTTATACCTCTCTTCCTCCTAATGAGCATTCTATCCAAGACATCCTGTGATTATTATTATTCACTCTTCCTTGCCATTTAGAAGTTATCTTCCCTTCCTTTAATTCTCTAAAGCACTTGTTATTTATTACTCATGATTTCCAATACAGTTGTTTTACTAGTTTTATTTTTCTTTTAGGTACTGTATTTCATGTATTTCATCCGGAAGTGCATGGACATTCCTAATTTTAATTTATTCAGCAATGACTGGTTTAGCAGGTATTATTGTGGACCAGGGGCAATTGTGGTGGTGATGGTGGTGGTGGTTTTGTGCCGTGGAGTCTGTTCCGACTCATAGCAGCTCTGCATAGGGTTTCTGAGGCTGTAAGTCTTTACAGAAGCAGAAAGCCTCATCTTTCTCCTGTGGAACGGCTGGTAGTTTCAAACGGCTGACCTTGAGGTTAACAGCCTGACTTATAACGACTATGGTACCAGAGATCCTCAGGGACAATTGTAGGTATTGTTAATATATTATTTGCTCACCAACAATATATATGTATATATCTATGCACTTAACAACACCATATATTTGTATAGTGCTCACTCAATGTATATACATATATACGTTGTTGTTAAGTGCAGTAGAGTTTGTTCCCACTCATAAAGACCCTGTGTAGGGTTTCCTAGGAGCAGCTGTTGATTTCCTAGGTTATAATGGGAAGAAATTGAGCAGGTTTAAAAGGTAGGCATTAGAGAAATTGAGCAGGTTTTAAAGGGTAGGGAATGGGTTATTTTATGAAATGCTGTTTCAAGAAGATCTCTAGCTCAGGGCCCAAATGTTTGCCTGAGAGTGCAGAGCCCTGTAGTACTCACTCAATATTTATTGAATAATTAATGATTAAATGTATTTCTTGATGAGGGGGATAATGGGAGAGGATAAAAAGAGAGAAAACTTTTAAATCACAGTTTCATATGACCAGAAAATTGGCTTTTTATTTTGTTTTGGAAACCATGTGATCATAAGGAAGGGTCATGGACAATGGCCTTAGATATTTCCCATCCATCCAAGTCTGAATATAATTGAGCAGGGTTAGCCCGAGTAGCGATTAAGACTGAAGCTTATTCTCATAAATGTCAGATCATCTATGGTAAGTGCATCTAAAATTGAACCAAACTCCTATTGTGTGTTTCTGCAGCATGTTGTCCCATTTACCCAAGTATAAAGGGGCTTCATAGAAAAATTGCATTATTATTTTTTAATGTGAATTGTGTGATATGGGAGAACATTAGTTTTACATTCATCCTATTGTATATCTTTCCATTGCCATGGTTACAGTGCCCACCATGCATCATCAACCAACCAAAGGGTATATATACCCTGCAATCCTGCCACCCGGTTGTCAGCCCACAATCTCTCTCCCTCTTTGGGTCTAAAGACCCCAGCCACTCCATCTCTCCACATCATTGTCTCTGCCTCTATCTCTGGTGTCACTGCTTCTCTGGGTAGGGTCCGGCTCTCCACTCTTCTTCTCCCTTGATGGTCCCAGGGACCTCCGATCCTACTCTGCAAAATTAATCACTCCTCTCCTTGCTACAAAACATCTACCTTTACATCTCCAACCCTCACAATCAGTCCTGGTAACAATTATTCACTATTGTATCACAAGAGACCTATATGTATTTCCTTTCACCAGCCCCGCCTAGACAGATTGGATGCTACTCAGTGGAGATTCTACCTTCCTCCATGCTCTCTGGATCTAGGTTCCCTCTTGAAAGCTTGTAAACCAGTCACTTCTTGCCTTTGTAGCCCCCCACTTTGGATAGCCAACTTCCAATGTGTTATGTTTTATTCCACTTTTCCACAAACTTTTGAAATCCCTTTGCAACATATAGGCTTCTTTACCCTAATGAATATTTATAATAAATATCAACTTTGTTGTAACTTTAAATTAGTAGATTTGTATAATTTTTTGTGTGTTTATCTTTTCCCTTTTTTCTACTTTTTAAATGCTTTATTTTTGAAGTCTTTAATTCCATGCTCATATATAACTGAGGACAAAAGATGATATAGCAATGTTATGAGAATGTTGTTGTGAAGTGCTGTCTAGTTGGTTCCAACCCATAGTGACCCTGTATAGGGATTCCAAGGAGTAGCTGGTGAGCTTGAACTGGCAACCTTGCAGTTCAAATGGCTTTTCAGTCTGGCACCTTAACCCACAGTGCCACACGAGGACTCCGTTATGTGACTAGAGACTATGAATTATCAAATATTCATTTTTATTTGAAGAATATGTTTAACATAGAAAAGAATATATTTAATTTTGGAACTACATAATATATAAAGTGCATAGCTTGCAATCAAAGCCCACTGTTATTTTGTAATTTTCAGACAGAATTTCTGATCCAGGATTCTTGACTTCTTCTTGCCTTATGTTTGAAAAATTCGTTAACCTGAACAACTGTCCATTCTCCAAAATTGCCAACCTGAATTTCTGTCATGATGAGTTCATCATTACATCTGCCAAGAGTTCCTCAGGTGAATGCAGATGTAGATTCTCAGTTATTGGACTGTGACTTCATACTTTAGATGCTATGTCTATGAACAATAGATGTTTTACTACAGAAATGAAAAGGCAAAACCAAAGCTCTGTGGTTGAATTTGTTCTCTTGGGGTTTTCTAACTTTCCTGAACTTCAAGAACAGCTCTTTGGGATCTTCTTGATTATTTATCTAGTGACATTGATAGGAAATGCCATCATCATTGTTGTCATTTCCCTGGACCAGAGCCTTCATGTCCCCATGTACTTGTTCCTTCAGAACTTATCTGTGGTGGAAGTGAGCTTCAGTGCAGCCATTATGCCTGAAATGCTGGTGGTCCTCTCCACAGAGAAAGCAACCATCTCTTTTGCTGGCTGTTTTGCACAGATGTATTGCATTCTTCTTTTTGGTGGAACTGAATGTTTCCTCCTGGGGGCAATGGCTTATGACCGATTTGCTGCAATTTGCCATCCTCTGAGCTACCCGATGATTATGAACAAAAGGGTTTTTATGAAATTAGTTACATCCTCATGGGCTTTAGGTTTCACTATGACTACCGTCCAAACCCCATGGGTGTTTAGTTTTCCTTATTGTGGCCCCAATGAAATTAATCATATTTCCTGTGAAACCCCTCCAGTGCTAGAGCTTGCATGTGCAGACATATTTTTGTTTGAAATTTATGCATTCACTGGCACTGTTTTAATTATTCTGGTTCCTTTCATTTTGATACTTTTGTCCTACATTCGAATTCTCTTTGCTATTCTGAAAATGCCATCGACCACTGGGAGGCAAAAGGCTTTTTCTACTTGTGCCTCCCACCTCACATCTGTGACTCTCTTTTATGGCACAGCCAGTATGACTTATTTACAACCTAAATCCAGCTACTCACCAGAAACCAAGAAACTGATGTCACTGTCTTATTCATTGCTCACCCCTCTGCTGAATCCTCTGATCTACAGCTTGCGAAATAGTGAGATGAAAAGAGCTTTCATGAAATTATGGCGAAGAAAAGTGGTTTCACACACAGCCTGATTGTTTTGAGAAGCAATGTAGTATTAGATTACTACCCAGCAACCCTTATTTAAAGTTAATAAATTGTGAAAAAGATACTTTGTCATGGTATGGATATGTATAATTTGTTGAATCTCCATGTTTGATTATAAATCAGGGTCATGGTTGTATACGAATGGTATTATTTTTCATGTTGTTGTTATTATGTGTCGTGGAGTCGGTTCCGACTCATAGCGACTCTGTACAGGGTTTCCGAGGTGGTAAATCTTTACAGGAGCAGAAAGCCTCGTCTTTCTCCTGTGGAACAGCTGGTAGTTTTGAACTGCTGACCTTGCGGTTTGCAGCCCGAATCATAACCACTACACTACCAGAGCTCCTTAAAAAAAAAAAAAAGAAGAAGAAGAAAATTATTTTTCATAGATGCCCAATATTCCTTAATATTGGGTATAACACAGTTTCTCCAACCATTTATTTATTGATAGTCATCTAGGTAACTAGTTTTTGGTCAGTAAGGAACATAATTTTATAACTTAATAAATACTTGTTCTGTGGAATGAATTCCATAGAGTTGTTTTGATGTATCAAAGCAAATGTGTATTTGTCATTTTTAATAGATATTGCCAAATTACTTTTCAAAATAGTTAGAAGTACTACTTCAAGCTCACCTGAAGATACACTTTGCCCAAGAAAGTAACAAATAAAGATATGAGATTTTTACTCTTGGAGTGAAAATATGGCCCATGATTGAGCTACAATAACAGTATTTATTGAGATGACCACATTGATTCTAACTAGTTCAGGGACTCACAGAGTTTCTAATCCAAAACCGTGTTTTACCTGGGTATCTTCGAAAGTCTCCATATAGTGTTATTACTAAGGAGCAACCTGTGATGGCTTGTAAAGATCATTTAGAGTATTGCTATTCTTTCCATTTATAGGTCACTGATTTTGGGAACATTAGCCAAATTTCACTTATATGGCAAAAATTACCCTCAAGCTTTGTCAAGGAATGTATGATATTTATCTATATTTTTCTATTTGGAAACAAATATGATTAATTAATGTGTCTATTTCTTTTGCACCTGAGTTATATTACTATCTGAGTGCATTTTCCCCCAGAATGAATAGACACTTGCAACAAATGTGACATTTCATTCTTAATTTCTATGATAACTCCTAGGAAAAAAGAGGAACCCACTTGCTGAATGTACATCACAAGAGTCAGTGCCACCCTTCATTTCTCTTCCAGGAGAAGTAATAGATCTTAGGGCATTTTCCCTACATGAAGCAGTCATTCATTTGATAGAAAGATACTTGTTTTTTCATATTTGTTGTTGTTATGTGCCATGGAGTTGGTTCCAACTCCTAGTGACCCTGTACAGGGCTTCCGAGGCTGTAAATCTTTATGGGAGCAGAAAGCCTCATCTTTCTCCTGTGGAACAGCTGGTAGTTTTGAACTGCTGACTGTGAGATTAGCAGCCCAATTCATAACCACTATGCTATCTACCCCTGACAAAAATAGGACCAAAGATGTAAATCTGATTAAACTTTTGAAAAATGAAATTGTATGGTTTATATCTGAATTTTGAAAGTATTGTCTTCAGTAGAGCACAAAAATAAGCAAAAGCCTTTGACTAGGTTATGTCTCTTGATATTCTGAAAATTTTCTCATTTTTCACAAGAGAATCTATTAAGTAAGACTTATCAAAACAAATAAACAAGCAACCAAAATAAGAAAGCCAGATATAGAGTTTTCTTTTAACTATTTATGAGTTGTTCAGGCCTTATTTGAATAAACCAAATTATCATAAGAAAAAGATAACTTTATTGAGAGATTCAAATCTCAATGAAACTGTCCTTTCCCTTGAAGGATTTACAGTTTTCTGATCAATAGACATTGGAAGATCACCAAATTCACCCTTTTTTCCTATTTCATTGTCCTTGGTGATAAATAAAAGCTAGAAGTGGAATATATGTTTATGGAATGAAAAAGAAATCAGGACATATTCATTCTTAATGTGTTTGTGTGTCCTTGTATGTGGTCTATGTATGTACTAGGAATTCATTGATTTGTGATATTATTTGAAAAGATAGAAATGATTATTAATGTATTTGACTATAGTTAATTTTTTTTGTTATTCTAATTAATAAAAAGTGTTTCTATACTTCACTCCAACAACTTATCTGTCACTTTATTGTATGATAGTGTTGTATAACAACACTTTATGATACACTATATGCATATGATAGCTTCCAGCATCATAGAGTGTCTATGATGCTGGAAGCTATGCCATCACTATTTCAAATGCTAGCAGAGTAATCCAAGATGGAAAGGTTCAGCAGAACATCCAGACTAAAACACACAAGGAAGGAGGACTTGGTGATCTACTCCTAAAAATAAATTAGCTAGTTAAAACTTTATGGATAGCAGGCCAGCAATACCATAGAATACCAGGCAAAGCAGACCCAGGGCAGAGCTCCAAAACCTGGACCCAAAGAGTTAGAAATATTTTGAAGATTTGAAGGCTTATAGATTGTGGAACTTGAAGCGGAAGTAAACAATCACATACTTTTGAATCTTCCGGGCTGGGCTCGGAGGCCCGGAGCCAACATCTTGGGTGAGACCCAAATGGCAAGACCAAGCGGGGGAGCAGAAACACCACGGAAAAACACCATGAGAACCTTAGAGCAAAGGTGCACAATACTTTGTCAGTTTTGCTTTGTTCTGATTTTCTTTTCTTTTCTTTTTTTGGTATCTGGTCATTGGCACACCCACTGTTTGCCCACCTCCATTCTGGTGACTAGAGAGGGAGACTGAGCTAGTTGATACCCCCACCCTCACCACTGGTGGGTTCTTCTGCCACGTTTGCCCATAGATACTCAGCCCAAGAGCAGGCCCTGAACGGTTTTTGCTTGTTTGTCTTTTGTTTTGTTTTTTAATATGGCAAAGGGCAGAACAGGGCAGTAGAGAGGAAAAGAGAGTTTAAAAACAAAACAGGCTGAAAAATTAAATTAAAGCCTGAGGTATAGCATAACAACCTACACTGGCATCTTGAAATCTCTCAGGCAGCTTTGAAAGCAAGAAGCTGAAGAGAGGACATTAAAGTCATACTCATATTAGGCTACAGATTTTTTTGTTTCTTTTTATTCTCTCCCTCCTCTCCTTTTTCTGTGATTATGGACTGCAGTATTCAGTCTAGTTTTTGTTGTTGTTGTTGTTGTTGTTTTTTCCCGCTGAGGCTGCTTTGCTGTTATATGCTCCCCATTCTACCTTTGGAGGACTCTTTCTGTCCACATATTACACAAGAAGAGTCAGCAACTTCTGCCATATAGCCAAGCTAAAACCACACTCTATAAAACACAAAAACCCAAGGCAAGAACCAATACCAACTGCCATATACTAGGGAAACAGACAACACCTGTGAAAGTTACTCTGAGGTAAACAATAAGAAGAGTGAAAAGGGAAGCCCACATCCTGATCACATCTCCCTGGAAGCAATCAGAAAGCATAAAAAATGCCAAAACACATACTCATTTAAGTATTAAGGCCACAGATAAACATTCAACATGTCCAAGAAGCAAAAGCAGATGACCATATCAGTACATGTCCAGAAACAGGAGAAAATGTCTGAGACAAATGACCTAGAGGCAGACCTGGACTCCATTCTGGAAGGAGGGCAGGCCTTGGAAATGTCTAATAAGGACTTCAGAAAAATGATTATAAAATGTTTCAAAACACTTTTCAATGGAGTTGAGAAAAATAAGTCGGGAAAGTGCTACAGGAACAATCAAATAAGATAGATACAGCATTGGAAACAATTCAAAACTTACAAAAAG